GATATGTTTCATAGACAGTATAATAGGAGAGTAGGTTTATAATAAGAGTTAATATCTCTTAGTATAAGATTGCTTCTAGTAGTAGCATCTTTGTATCCTATGTAGTAGTATCTTCTCCTGAATGTGAGGGTCTCTTGTTTTTTGTTTTACTTTTAGACGTAGCTAGAGTAGACTCTTTCTCTAGAACTTGGGGCTTACAATCAATATCCATTGTATCTGAGTCTAGATCAGGTTTTGCAATAGTATTGCTGTTAGTTTTTGTGTTTGAAAAGGAACTTGATGAAATTGTGTTGTGTTCATTTGAGGAGCCTGTTGACTCTTTTAGAGTAGTTGTTAGGGAGTGAAATTCTGATATTTTGGTTTCTTAGGTATAAGAATTATTTGAGCTGAAGCTGATTTGAGATTCTGAAGTCTCAATACTCAGTTTTTTTGCTTGTTTTAACTCTTTGTAATGGTTATGAAGTGCAATTGCCTCTTTGAGATCCTGGCAGTCTTTTTTAATATGTCCCTCTTTCTCACAGTAGTAGCAGATTTTGGGAGCTTCTCTCCATTCTGTAATAACCTTATGGTCTCCTATGTAAGTAGATCTTAGAAGTTTTTTAGCTAAGTCAGCATCTTCTGTAGTTTCAAAAGTAATAATCCACTGATCTGAACAAACTGTAGTCTCTTCGAAAAACAGAGGCTTGATAGAAGCAATAGTACCAAAGTCAACAAATGCCTCTTTGATTAAGTAGCTAGTTTGGTTCATATCGTCAAGAGGGGTGTTTCTCAGTTTAACTGAGAGGAAGCTGTGTTTAAGGTTAATTGGGATATAACCAAAGATAGTTTGCCTGAAGATATTTAGACCTTCTGTAGTATAGAATTGCTGTTGTAATTCTTCTTTGAATACTACTTCAAGGTATATTCTTTTGCCCTTGCTAAAGTGAGCTTTTGCAGCTAAGAGTTTGTCTTCAGAAGATTTGTGAGAGCTAAAATTATATCATTAGTAGAAATATTATTAAGAGATAAGATGTCAAAGACGAGAGCATTATTATTTTTAGACAAAATCCTATTCTTGAGAGTTTCTTGTTTGAAGGTAGCTTTGCCTCCATGTAGTTTTGTAAAAAGATCAGACCATTGTTTAAGTTTGTTCAGATTATCTTTAGTGTTATCAGATTTTCCTAATGTAGTTGTTGGATCTGCATTAATAAGACCTGCAGAAGAGTTTTTGGTTGATTGGTTGTTTAAGTTGTTCAGGTATTCTTTGTTTATATCTGAAGTGATGTGTTTGTTTATTGTTTTGTTAGAAACAAAACTTGGTGTTTCTTCATTTTCTTCTTGAGAAGAGTAAGAATTATTAGTTTTGTTAGGCTTGTTGAGATCTTTATTGATGCAAACTTCAGCTACTTAGAAAGAAAAACTCTAACATGTTTTGGCAACTTAGACTACCTTCTTGTAGAATGCACAATCCAGTATTAGTCTATATCAACTCAAGCTACAATTTGGAGACTTGACCCAAAGAAACTACTTGACTTTGAAGTTAGAGAAAAAATTACTCAAAATCTTCAAAGCTGCAATGATATTAGCAAGTGGGATTTTCACAAATATATAATCCAATCAATAGTTAGATCAGCTAAGTCTAAAAAGTTTCTAGAAAAGAAAATCTAAATTTTGCAGAATAGGCTATCTAAATTAAACAATAGGATAGCAAATGACCTTAGGTTTACAGACCTCCAAGCCTCTTCAGAAGAAATTAATGACCAAATTCAAGAGGAGCTTCAACACTTCTCTGAGAAATGGCAAACTAGATCAAATACCAAATGGATTGAAAAAGGAGAAAAATCAACCAAATTCTTTTTCTCTTGATACAAAATTAGACACTCCTCCTTATGTAGCACCAAAGTCAGAAACCCAAATAACCTTACATCTAACTCTCAACCAGATGTTTTGGAATACATCAAAAACTTTTACAAATCTCTTTACAAAGCTGAACCAATTGACCTCCAAGCAGCAGAAGAGCTACTCAGAAATGCTCCTCTCATCTCACAAGACCAAAATGATATCCTAGTTAAACCCGTCACTGAAGAGGAAATTAGTAACACTATAGATAACCTCCCAAACAATAAATCTTCTGGACTAAACAGGCTTACTTATGAATTCTACAAATCTCTAAAGGACCTTTTACTTCCTTTACTCTTTAAGCTTTTCAACAATGTTTTAACCACAGGACAAATACCTCTTTCATGGAGCAAAAACATAATTACTCTTATTCCTAAGAAATCAAATAATTTAGAGAATATTAGTAACTAAAGACCTATCTCACTTATTAATAGTGATGCGAAAATTTTTATGAAAATCCTTGCTAATAGACTAAACTTTATCTGCAGTGACATAATTTCTCTTTGTCAACAAGCTT